CTTTAAACGCTTTTCTAGTGATATTACGACTTCAATATTTGTGGCAGACGGACGTAAAGTCAAATAAAATAACTTAAACTTGATTTTTATTTTTTTGTATACTTTTTTGACAAACGACATAATCGGGAACGACGTAACTCGAAACGACGTAAGTCGAGGTATACCTGTAATTTAGAGTATTTAAGGCAATCATTTGGATGTGTGTGTGTGTATGTATATATTTATTTATTTATCAGGCTTTGGGTTCTTTAATTGTACTGTACCATTTGAAAATCTGGTACAGACTTTAAAAAAACAAGGAGTGCTTTATTTATGAAGGTCTTCATTATGATCCTATGCTAGTACAGTAGAGCGTTGTTTATCTGAATCCATTGGGGACTGGGGTTGTTCAGATAACTTATTTTTCGGATAATCGATTATGTACGAAAAAATATATTAACCTATACCACGTTGAAATTTTTCTCTATTGCATGTTGCTTCACGTTGAATTTTCGTCAATGTTAAGCCTAATGTAAACTTTTTAAAATAGTAATCGTGGCTATCGTATCGTTAAAAATTATTTCTTTATTTTGTAAAAACAAAATAAATATATTGAAAAATATAAAAACAAAAAAAAACTTATACAGTAGAGCCTCGATTATCCAACTCAATTGGGGACTGGGGTTGGTCGGATAATTGAAAAGTCGGATAACCGAAAAGTATGAAAAAATCCATTATTAATGTAATATATTATTATATCCCATGTAATTTGTATATTAGTATATCGCTATTAACCTACTTTGTGTTGAATTTTCATCGATGTTAAGCCTAACAAATATTTTTTAAAATAATAATCATCGCTATTGTATCGTTAAAAATTAGAAAATTAAGCCTCGTTTAAATACTGGCTCCCTTTCATGGTCGATCCAGTGTTGCCAGCTAAAACACATAAAAATAATATTAAAGTAGCCAAGACATAGCCAAATATTGTAGCGCCACATCACTAGCGGACATTTGAAATTTGCCTACTAGGACGGTCAGTTAACCGGGGGTCGGATAATTGAGGCTCTACTGTACTTTGGAAGTTAATCTAATATCAAAAAATGTTTGATTCAGCTGACTGGAACGCTTTTGGTTAACTGGTGTTTCAGTTGATTGGGTTCCGGATAAACGGCACCCCTCTGTAGTTAAAATTACATTTTGTATACTAAAAATAAGAAGTCCATTTTTTAGTTTCAGGATTAAGTGTCATCTACAAATACTAGTATTGCCATCATTAATGAGATCTTGAGTCATATTTTTATATTAATTAGTAAAACAGTACAGTAAGGTAGAATTTTTCTCTCTAATTTGACTGTGAACCATAAAAACATTTACCATTACCTCATACAAAAGCAGAGGTAGAAGTAATTGTAAATGGTATGTAAGCACAAATTTGAAAGTATTTATAGTGATAGTTAAGTGTAAGCCTATTTAACTGTGAGCACCTAATACAGACTTATTTTAGGATGCCTTAACCATACTAAAGAATCTCTTATAAACTTAACATTTTGTCTAGTTAAAATCCTATCATTTTTTTTTTATCTTGTTAGATGTGAAAATATATATTGGCCTTAAGTCTTTCTTCAGGCAAACTATTTATTAATTACAGATGTATTTCTTTTCAAGTTTTCTATTTTTAATTTTCAATATTTTTCCTTGTCTATTTTCTACTCAAATACTTTTATAAAGAGTACTGAAATCTATCGGTAATAGTTATATGATAAATTACTGATTTTATTAAGAAGTGCGCACAGCAATTTATGGTCTTCCCTGTTAGTCTTAATTTTTCTGGTGTTAGACTAAAAAGTTTGTATCAAATTATTTCATTTGAGCATATTCTGATGTATATAAATGAATATTGTTCATTTAGTAAAATACAATTGCTCAATTTTATTTTACATTTCAAAGATTCATTTATAATTTCTCCTGTCACACAGATATGTAGAATCCTAAGCACAAAAACTGCAGGATTTACAATTACTTCTCAAAGTATTTACATTACCTTACATAATTATTTTAATTTATTCTGTTTTAAATTTTAATTGATTTTTAGATCTGATGTGTGTATCTAAATAGCTCCATTTTCATTAAAATTATCTAGTGGAATGAAGTTGTGATTTATTTAAATATGCAATTTTATGGAATTTTTTATTTATCGGAAACAAAGCATTTTACACGAAGAAAGTTAATAATCTTTGATCAAACTTTGTAGAATATTATAAAATTATATTTTGTAATATAAATGAAAAAGTAATTCTAATATCAGTTGAAGTATATATATATTTTTTTTTTTTTCAGAAAAAATAAATATCATAAATACTTAAATTGATAAATTTTCAGAAATTGATAAAACAAATTGATAACATTTTATTATTTTAATAATAGAATTTTATCATATGAATATCCTTGTAATTTGATTTTTCTTTATCTTGAAATAATTAGTTTTTTTATTATTATTAATTAATAAATACATTTAAAATCAAACAAATCTAAATGTTTTTCAGTTAAACATAAAAATAAACATATATAAAAAAATTTCCCTAATTAAAATCAAGACAAAAATATTAATTTTTTCTGTTTCATTGATCTTTAAGTGTAAGCGTGTGTGTGTGTGTATAAATATAAAAGAAAAATATTTTTTACATTAATAGACATTTAGTTTTATTCTAATAAAAAAAAGAATGGATTTCACTTTATATTTTGGAATCCCAGTATTGTGTGTTTTGACTAATTTTAAATATTTATAAAGTCCAAGACAAGTCCAAGTCGTATAGGGCAAAGACATGGGCAATTATGATAACCCAAGAGAGAAAGATGGAGGTGGCAGAGATGAAAATGTTTGAGATGGATGTGTGGAGTGTCAAGGAAGGATATAATGAGGAACACTTTTATAGAGGCTCTGTTAGTGGGTCCCTTGAGCAGGAAGATGCAAGTTTGCAGGTTGAGGTGGTTTGGCCACATAAAGCATAGAAGTGAAGATTATGTGGAAATAGGGTCTGTAAACTGGTAGAGGAGGACCAAGGCTGTGTTGGAAAGATAAGGTAGAGGAAGATCTGAATCAAAGGCGACTTAAGAGAGAAATCCTTGATAGGAAGAAATGGAAGAAATATATTAGTGAAGGAAACATTGACCTCATATTAACATGGGAAGATAAAGTCCAAGACAATTAATAATAAAAAACTGATTTTAAAAATTTTATTTATAAACTTGTTATTATTTGATTATATTAAAAATTGTGTATTTGAAAGAATCTCAATCTTTTATTATATTTATAAAAACTCTCAAAATATATATTAATTTATTAACCTGTGGAATTATTGCAGAAAGAAATAAGTCTGCATAATTTAAGTCTTGGTTATATCCATTTATATGCAAAGCACAAATTTATAAAGTACTAGCTACAAGGATCCGCTTCGCTGGGTTTTTATTTGTTCGTACATTTGTATGTAATATAGTTGTTTTTCTAAGTAATCTAGAATCTAGCTGCAAGGACCCGCTTTGCTGGGTTTTTAAAAAGTAACGATAGTGAAGATTAAGATAAGTACATTATAGCCATTCTTACCCATTTTCACAGAATGCAAGAATTTGGTCCCTCCTTTCCAGACTAATTAGAGACCTGGTTTCTATTCTATTTCTGAACGTCTCCTGTTCAAGTCAAGTCAAACGAACTATTATCATCATTTCTGGAATGTTTACAATCGTTCTATAATCGAACCAATATTCGAATTTTATGTTCGAATTAAATTCAAACAAAACATTCGAAATAGAAAGCCACTTTCAACCACTTTCAGCCTCATATCTCCCGCACCCTTATAGCTATCGAGACGCAACCATCCCTATGCACGAATGGAGACTTGGGGCTACTACCACATACAAACACCATTCACGTGCGATGTGTAGTTTTGGAAAAGTGAAAAGTGAAAAATAGTTGGAAAAGTGAAATATAGGGACATACATGTCCATTTTTATATATATATATAATTATTATTGTGATGTACAGTAAAACATACTTTACTTTTTTAGACAATGAAATTAATGCACACTTGCATATTGCTATATTTTATTATACTTCTCAAATATTAAATTAAAAGTGTTTTCAATCGAAAACACTTAATTTAGTAAATTTTATTTGCTGGATTGTTAAAGGTGTATTTTTTATATTTAGTTATCCAGTACATTCATTTTATAAGTATACTTCTCAAAACTTCAATAAGCATTGTTAACTATTATAGCAATAAATTTACTGGTTTTGCATGAATGTTACTACTAACTTATTTAAAATTTGATTAAATATCTAATTTTATATTTAATTTTGTTTATGTATTATTTACTTTATAGTTTATATTAAATAAATGGATCTGTATAATGAACTAAATGATTTTTAAAAAATTATTTTAGATGTGTGTAAATCTTCACACACGAATCCTTAAATTAATTTTAAACAATAACAAATTTATTTTTTTGTTTTAAGGTAATACATTTATAAATGCAATTACTTCAATTTAACTTCTGGTTTAGAATAGAATTCAGTAGAATTGTATTGTAAATTTCAAAGTGATAAAAACAAATAAAAATAAATTTATATATAATTTTTGTCATTATAAAATAGTGTGTATAAAAAGAATTGTTTACATAATTATAATTCCTACATCACATTTTTGTGATTAGTTGTAACTTATTGGATAATAGGTTTAGTAAGGTTTGATATTTGTAGAACTTATTAACATTTTGACCAGTAAATATATTCTCCAATCAGCATTAAAAAGATAATTTCATTTAATGATTAAATGAAAAAATATATTTTTTTTTCTATCAAATGAATAATCAACTCCTCTTTGAGATTATACCTAGCATTCTGTCTCTCATACATGTTTAATTTTTTATGAAAATTTTGGAAATTTCCAGTTTTGCTAAATTTTAAGTTTCTGTAATTATTTTTTAATTCAAAAATTAAAATATTTTTACATTTCTTTCTCCAGGCTTCTTTTCTTAATAAGAAACTTACTATTGCTGGAAAGCGTGTTGATTTAGCCATATGGGTATGTATTGAATCGTTTATTAACATGTGCAAATTTAGTAAGTAAAATTAGAAAGTTACGAAATAAATTTCATGCATATAAATTAATTTTTTAGGATACTGCTGGCCAAGAAAGATTTCATGCTCTTGGCCCTATATATTATAGAGATAGCAATGGAGCTATTCTTGTATATGACATTACAGACGAAGATTCATTCCAGAAGGTAAAATAATAGCTTTTAAATTAATTTCTGTCAAACATGCACGATTTTCATTTAATTACATTTAACCAATGATTTATATTTATTTATAGGTAAAAAATTGGGTCAAAGAACTCAAGAAAATGTTAGGAACTGGAGTGTGTATATGTATAGCTGGGAATAAAGTAGATTTAGAAAAACAGAGGGTCGTAACTGTAGAAGAAGCAGAACAGTGAGTCAACTTAAAACTATTAAAATTTAGAAATTGTGGAATTCATAAAACATAAAATGTATTTAATTATCCAGATTTGTTTTTTAAAATAATAATTTTTGAATAATTTATAAATTATATGTAAGAATTAGCAATGTCAATTATATATAATCATTTTAATTGGACATTTCCATCTATAAATTTAGAAAATTAACTTACTGTTTTTTATATGAATCATGTTCTTAAAAATGTTTTATTTTTATGATTCTACTTAGCAATTTCTTGGATAAATTGAATTACTAAATTATTTTATTTTTCTCATGTTTCTTATATCGTATTTTCAGAGGTTTGAAAGTATAGTTCAGAAAACGTATTGTAGTCTTATTAGATGAGTCAGTAATGTCAGTTTGATTTTAAAAAAATTTTGTTAAAAGTAGTAGCAAATTATTTTGGCTATCATAATTAAGAAATGAGTAGTCTTGAATATTATAATTTTGTGTCATCAATATTTATTATTAAATACAGCATATCTAAATTAGGGTCTGATTTCTAAATGGACACAGTAGGCCTAGGCCTAGAGAGGCAGATTTTGAGGGTAGCAAAATTGGTGGATGTATAAAGATAAGAATGTCACAAAAAAGTGACAAAACAGTTCTGTGTAGCATGCACAGAAGCTAATCAAAGGTGACTGAATGACTAATAATTTGGATTGTACGAAGATATGAATTTGCTCCAGTGCTCTGCTAGGTTATCCATGCTGGGCTTGCTGCAGCATATATGAGCATGGATTTTTTATCCAGATGGAAATTTCACCATGTCCACATCATGTGAAAAGTCTCACACCTTTCACACAATCTGTCTCTGTAAACATAGCAATGATAATTAAGATAATTTCATTTTTAAGTTAAAAAAAGTTTTATTATTATCATCATTTATCACCATAATAAGAGTTGACTGATAAATAAGGTCTATAATATATAGTTCTGTAAAGTTCATACAGGGAAATGATTACCACTATTTAGTAGCCAACACAATGAACTGAGACTGTGTGAAGTCTGTTGTGTTGCATTGTTATATAATACTGTAGTGAAATTCAAACATAAACTCATCTTTCTCATAATGTACAAAGCAGTAATATGTGATTGAATTCTTAACACTGGAAAGTTGCACATCTATTGAAATTTATGAGTTTATCTGAAAAGGATTGCAAATTGTTTACAGCAATGGCAAGAAACATTATTTGTGGAGTAAGATTAGAAAGTTTTTTCTTTGTACGATAATACAAACTACACTGCAGTAAAGAAACAGCAAAGATGCTTAAACCTGAAGTTATAGGTTATTTTGTACTCTTCTTACTGCACAGATCATCAGACTTCTGATTATTTCCAAAATTAAAGGTGGTGCTGAAAAGTCAATACTTTACATTATATACGAAGTTCAAGCTGCAGTATGGGAATGGATTGAGAAAAACATCTCTAAACGATGGTTATGCTGAGAAATGTATATGTATGATATGAATCTTCTCTGTGTTTTTTCCATGTTTATATGGGTTCAGCATTCTCATCTTTAATCTGTCTTCTCCATGTCTCTCTATCTAGGGCCTACTCTCTCCTCCATCCCTCTCTCCCAAATCCTCTGCCAACTTGGCTCTCCATCTCAGCTTCAATCTTCCCCGCTTCCTCCTCCATATCACTTCCAACATAGTCCTCATTTCTTCTCTCCACAAGTTTAAACCATCTTATCTATTTTCCTGCATCATTTTACTTTTAGGACCTTGACTGTTCCTCTTACGTAATCATTCCTAATTCTGTCCATCACACCACACATCCATCTCAGCATTCTCTACTGTCTCCATATTCTTTTTCTGGGCTCTTGTAATTGTCCATGTCTCAGCACTGTACATCATTGCAGGTCTTACCACTGTTTTGTATAATTTTTCTTTCATTTTGCAGCTTATTTTTTTTCTTATCACAGCACATCACTCTTCTTTCTCCAGCCATCTAATCTGAACTCTATGCTGATTTTTGCATTCATTTCTCCATCACTTGCTGCATATGATCCAAGATACTTATATTTGGAAGCTGTTATTAACTCTTCACCTTGGAGATGTATATAACTCTATAATTCTCATCACCTCCACCAGATGCCTGTCTGCAGCATACTCCATGGTACCATGTTCTTCACATCTTCCACCAATATATCATCACCAAATCAACCAGAAACAGGATAAGGATTGAGCCTTGGTGCAGTCCAACTCTCACAGTGAATCCCTCCATCATACCTACACTACTCTTTGCTTGAGCCATTGCTTTCTTATACATATCCTTTACAAATGTTACTTTTCTGGTATTTCCTTTACCTTCATACATCTCCATACCTCCTGCCTAGGCGCTAGGAAATTCAATCCCGGCCCTTATTTCTAATCCTGGGATTTCGGGATTATACTTAGTCAATCTCAGGATCCCGGGATTATTTCAGTATTGAGGGTTAATAAAAAATAAGAAAATCTTACAGAAATTAGCTCTTTAATCAACAAATCAAAATTTAGACAAAAATCAACATAATTAAAATTTAGACAAAAATCAACATATTTTACGGTATACACCTAGCTAATCTATTCACTCTAACTAATCAGACTTAGTCAAACTAACCAGACTTAAAATCACTCAGTCTTATGTTAAAGTTATTCTTTTTCAAGCATCACTGAGATTCTAAATTTACATAAATTGGAAAAAGCTTTATGTAACAAACTATGCAAATAAACATTGAAAATTAACAAAAATCTCTCTTAACATTGACTAAATAGACTACTTTCATATAACAACCAAGTAAGTAGGTAGTAAAGTAAGTTTCTTAGCAAAAAGTATTTAAAAATAATAATATTAATATTAATCAATCACATTTTTCTTAAATATGAAGAAAACTAATCTAATAGGAGCGTTCTAATTTCAATTGCAAAAATATGATCTGAGAAATAACAACGCATCCAGTGACTCATCAAGTCTGATTCTCAATTTGTTGCACGTATATGCAGCTGCTGAGAAAGCGTGTTCAGGTTTGATGGAAGTTGGAAGAATCGTTAGTAAATACTTATAAGTCTGCTCTAGGTTATAGCTCCAAGTAGAATTTTAAGACTCATACAGGTTCGTTTCTTTCTTAACAACTTTGGAAAAATCATTTTCATTTAATGCTTCAGGAGACATCATTTTCATGCCTGTTTTCTATTTCCAGATGAAGCTTTTCTTTGAGCATCAAATCACTTTTTTCTGTATTTGTAGGCTCAACTTGCATATTTCATTTTTCCTCTTCATCATTTTTTTTTACCATTTAATCGCTCAATTAATGAAACAATATGGTTTTTTATCAGGACTTTGCTCGGACTTGAAAATGTAAGCTTTATTTCATCATTGTCAATCAAATTGACACTATGTGGATTTTGTAGGTAGCATAAAACTCCACTCAACTCACTTCTTCGGCAATCTTTCATGTGCTTTTGTAAATGTATCTTGAATTTAAAAGCCAAATCAGAGCTACTGTCATTTAACTGCTTAAAAAGAAACTTAAGGGCAGTGTCAGCTGTGCATAAATTTGCATCAGTGCAACTGAGTGCTTCTACAGTTAAATTTACTGGAACCAAGACTTTAATGATTTCATCGATGAGTTTGAAATCGGATTCTTCCAATTGCACTGGATAATTCAAATCTATAATTACTTTTCTGACACTAACGTTCAAAAAAGCAAAACGTTCAAGCATATTGTAGAGGCTGTTCCATCTCCACCGGGTTTGCTGTACAGATCTCTTCTAGTCATAAGCCCACCCTACACGGAAACTACAAACATTACAAAAAAGGATGTAGTCATTTGAAAAGAATGGATCATTTAAAATTATGGGAAAAAGATGTTGAACGTGATGGAACTATTTTTGATAAATATCATTTGATTGATTCTTGGACATATGACCACTTTGTTGAAACGAGACAAAATTATCACAAAAAAAAAAAAGAATAAAAAAATCAATAAATAATAATAAATAAATGAATGAGTGAATAAATAAATACATTAAGTATTTATGAATTAAAAAAAAATGGAAAAAAGTATACACAACAAGAGAATCGAACTCGAGCACGCAAGCGTACAAGTCAGGAGCGTTACCACTCACTCCACAGCACGCTCAAGCATGAGTACACGTAACTTATATATAAAGTACTAAAGAAAACTTTAAGTTTGCTTTTCTTGATTATATTTGAGTGTTGCACTTTAGTATTTTACAGGTAGTACTTTGGTGTAGAGGTAGTAAACATGGTGTACTACGTCTACACCAAAGATTCTCAAAATCCATTTCCCCAAAGCCATAGTGTCTCCTTGTGAGTAATAAAGCCAAAATCTTGTCATGTAAAAACTTAATTGTAAACAAAAAAAATTATTACAATACATGATTACAGTATTATAATAGTCAATTATAATACAGTAGGATTAAAACAGCCAGTAAATTATAACAGTAGGGAAAGTAAACCGTAGTAATTTAAATTATGACGACAATCTAGTTTGTGCATGAATGTGAATTGTTCCATGTTTTCCATATCCAAATTCCCATATCTAACAATTTCTTAAACAAAATAGGAACAAGAAAGTCTTATTAATGGCTTTATCAACATATTGTAATCTATAAATTAACTTCGAAATTTTAAAATTGGCATAACTTTTCTTTGACAAATGGAAGTAGCAATGCCTAGTAGCTAATGAGAATTGGCTGTTGGTATCACATGTTTTGGCAGGATAAATTCATCAGTGAAACAGGATAGTAAATACAGTACACTCTTAAAAGACATGTTCCTCAAAGACTTGATAATGGTTGAAAAGTTCTGTTGGGATGTATCATTTTATATTTTGAATGAAAAAGATTTAAGACCCTGTACATGTGGATGAATTATGCTGTTTTTGCATCTTGGATTTTCAATAACTCAAAAACTTCATTTTTTGATTTTATGCCTTTGATGACCTTTGCTCAAGACCACAAGAACTACAAAATATCAGATTCAGCCAAATCCAGGACTCATTTATCGTAAGGTTTCCTTTTGTAATTCATTATTCTTGCTGTATGTCCAAGCTTGCCAAGAAACATTGCTGAGCCTAAGGAAAAAATTACATGGGTCCCAAGTAAATAATTTATTTTGACTTTATTTTATAAAAAGTAATATATCCATAAAAAACAAACAATAATTATTGTTAAGCATTTTATGTAACAATAGTGCTTTAGTAGTAATTACTCGGCTAGTCCGTTGCTCTGGTTAATCCGACCATGGTCGGAGTCGAGAAACTTGTCCCAACTCGTCGGTAATTCACCATCCGTGGCGTTTTTCTGTGTTCGTTACAGTATATGTTTTACATTGTGTGTACGTGTACAGATTGGTGTGTTTTCAACATGTCAGGAGTGAAACGTAAACACGTTACTCTTTCATTAAATGAAAAATTAGCGGTGCTACAAAGACTGGACAAAGGGGAAGATTGTTTATTTTACTTTTTTCTGATAATCCGACCTTTTTTGCATTCCAACCATACCCCCAGTCCCAAAGGTGACGGATTAGAGGGGTTCTACTGTATAGTCAATGCGGAGAAAGAGGAGATGAGTCAGCCTGAGCTGAAAGACTATTGGATGAAAGGAGACATGGGACCTTGGGAGTTGACATGTGAATATGATCTCTTTCAGCTTGTTTTTACCTTTCTAAAATGTTTTTATATCATCTTTACCATAATTTTATTGTTTTATCTTTTTTACAATATTTTATTACTTATTTTCAATTCTAATGTTGTTCAGATTAATCACACATTGTCTTTTATCTCTTTCATCTGACATACAGTATATCCTTTTGGCTCAGGCTAACTCTTTTGCTGCATGGACTATAGCATATAAAAATCCAAATTGTGAGTTGATGATGATTGGGCCTCTGAAAATCCTGGGCATGGGAAATTTTATCTGATAATTCCCTCTCATTGGCCCTGATGATGTCAGATATTGCCTTGCAAGTGAACTTTGTTCATTTGTTCATTTGCCAGTCATGATCATGTATTTTAAGGATAATCACTAACACAAGCTTCTTGGAAATGACACTCAAGCAAACAGCAGACTGAAAAATTAATGTGCTTTATTAAATAAGTTTATAAATCATCATCTCAGACCTTTGTCTATTATATAAATATGAAACTGCATAAGCAGGGATAATGCTTCCAGTTTGGCATAACTTTTGTTAAAGAACTTCAAAAGGTAAAGTAAAACTATTTTAAAATATTTGTTTAAAAAGTATTTTTTGCAAATTAAATGTATACTCCTTTCTAATGGTAAAAACAATTAAAACAACTTTAATAATTGTAAAATTAAAAATTATTTTAACAGAAAATTGATCATGGATGATGAGTCAAGAAATATTTTATTAGTAATTCTATTCTTTAGTGAATAGTATTTAATTATCAGGCATAGTTAAAAAAATATACCATAATTTTCTCCACATAGTCTGCACCTGCTTTCACATTGACTTTAATACTTGGATAATTGCAGATTAATGAAGAAAATTTTTTGAATATGCAGCTCACTTCTTTAATAAAATTTCTTATGAAATTATATTTAGTATTTTGTCTTCATAGTTTACAGTAATAATTTTTGTATGTTTTTGACAGCTGAGATTAATTTCTTTATTGAAATATATATTATTAGAATTTTACTTTAGAATTGTTATGTTTGAAGTATTATTCATAAATAAGTTATTTATATAACTTATAGATACTGTAACTATTAATATGATTTGTGAATATAGTTATTGTTAATATAACAATATTTTTAAACATTTACAAATTGTCCTTTTTTTTTTTCTTTTCAAGATATGCATCTTCTGTTGGTGCTAAGCATTTTTTGACATCAGCCAAATTGAACAGAGGCATTGAAGAACTGTTTCTTGATCTTAGTACCAGTAAGATTTCATTTTGTTGAATATAAAAATCTTTTATTAATAACTGATGTGTTTTTTTTTAAATTAACAGGGATGATAGAAGTTGCCGAGAGTAATGACGAGCATCGACTGAGTAGTCTGGGACGTGGAAACAATCAGCGAAGAAATGTAGTTGTTGTCGAAGAAGATCCACAGCAGCAGAAAAGTGGATGTTGTGGAGGTTGATAGGTTATCTATGTAAGTTGCAGCATTATGGCTATTGTAGCAAGTTTCATGGACCATGTAAATGAGAAGGAATATACTTGTTTATATAATGATATAAAAAAATCAGCTCACAGAAATTTGTCAAGTTATATTTTATGTGATACTTGTTATGTATTACAAGTTTTGTAAAAAAAAAAAAAAGTGAAAAAAAGCTAAACAATCTTTATTAACAATGTTCAGTAGGAAAATTGTTCCAGTTTAATCACTTTCCCATTAAAAATATTTATGCTATTGTAAAGACCAACAAAAATGCACATCTGCAAGTCAGATGCATGAGAATATAAAAATTTTTCCTTGTAATTTAAAAATATATAAATAAACTTTATTATAATGCAGTCAGCATTTTATTTTGATAGCTTTAATTCAGATGACATATTCCTATTTCTTTTCAAGGCATAACATTGTTGAATACATCTTTTGTGCCATGTTGCAAAGTTTATTGCTTGAAGAATGTAACATGTGATCTATAATATTATTGAACATGCTCCATTGAAATGCTAGTCTTTAAAGTTTGTGAAAAGTTTTGAATTAATAAGTAGAAACCTATTGCTGCAAACGTGCTGTCTGACAGTACTTTTTGCCAACCACACCTCAATTTCTAGTTCTTTCAGGGATAAAATCAATTCAAAAATCAATCTTCAAGGGAAATTTTAATGTTACCTCATTTATTCTTTTTTGTAGTTTGAATATCTGATATGTTTAATAATGCATTTTATAATTTCTAAATTTTCTTTATTTATAGATAAACATTTTTATGCAATTGATGTGTGCTTTAACTGGATAAATTTGAATGTAATTTACATTTCTAAAATCTGATGTCCAAAATAAAAGGGCTTTTGTTGAACTAAGTTGTTATTTTTTTAAGAAAATGCATACTTGTTGAAAAAAAATTTTATTATTCATAAGTTTGTATGCTACAAAATTTTATATACACAGTAGAAACTTGATGATCCTAAAAAAAGAGAGTAAAATACATCACACTATAGTGGCATATACGACTGTTACGTGGAGTTCAGTCATCTGTCAATTTTAATGCTACAAAACTAGGTCATAAATCTAATATATTACATGCAAGTAAATACCATAATTATCGTTCATGAAAATAAATGTTTACATTTGTTTTTATGTAATCAAGCAAAGTTTCTGGATTATCTGAAATTTCATCTGAATAACCCCTGGTCCCATCAAGTTTGGAAAATCAAGTTTCCACTATATATAAATAAAATCTATTTAAATTATATACAATTAAATATTTATTATTTTAAAACATTGTTTACAATTCTAAATTATTTAATGTCATTCTTTAGTTTGATCTTTAGGCAGAATGATGTCAAAGATGATTGGGAGATTGACTGGTTCGTAGCTGATGTTACAAGTTGATGCATTGACAAAGATAGTTTTCCCATCTGTAGTTATACCATAACCTACATTAAAAAAAAGCAAAATTATTAATTTCTCAGGATCTCTTATCAGTTCCTGCCCACCTAATATACAAAAACAATCAATAGAAAAACACATTTTTTACCATCCTTGTCATTTATTGAAGATTTAATAATGTTTTGCATTTGTCCCCCATCAGAAAAATGTTTAGATATTGTACTACCATGTGGTGTTTTTGATTTTCCATTTGCATCAAGCCTTTCCAAAATGTTGGAGAAAGTACATATGATGATTGATGATAGGATTACTCTGATTACAAAAACTCTTATCTCCAGGTAACCTGGATATATGATGATTTTGAAATGAGATGTATTTTCATCTTTAACAAAATTACTCAAAATCATAATTTTAATCAGTACAACATTAAAATTACTTGTTAATATGATTATATATGCATATAAACTTGATATGGTAAAAAAAACCCACAAGAAACTAATACTATTTAATTTGCAGTTTTAAAAAAGTAATTCAAGGTGCAACCTGTAGGCTTTACATATCTCTTTGTACCAACTGTAATAGTGAAAATAAGTGTGCAAGTTGAATAATGTCTTAAATTGCTTTTATAGAGAAAAAGATCATACCGTAATGGTTGGTTGTAAATGGACAAACATTTTTTAAAAAAATCATTCATCATCATCCAAATATTAAAATACATTACGTATATATGTACACACACTTATCTACTACTAAAATCTGGCTTAAGTTCTTCCATTTAGCATTTCATGAATTTTGATGCTATGTAGCATTCCATTGCATGCTAGACACTATGTGCAAGAACTTAAATCCAGCTTTAGGCGTAAAATCAGGAGCATTTGCTAAACAGTTCAATTCTGCCTGCTCTCAGCAAAGCCAGAAATTTTGGCTTTGTGCATGTTGCAAGCACAATTAAAATATTTTAATTGATTGAAGATGTTTAACCTGAAAGGCATAACTTATTTTATTTCAAAACCAGCAATAATCTGGATAAAAATGATGTAAACACAGCCTGAAGAAATCATTTTAAACCTAGCATTTTAAAGTCAAAAAGGTGCAGTTGGCAACCCTAGCATAAATTCTAGCACTAGGATGCTCTCTTGTTGCTATTAGCCAGTCACTACATAATTCTGTAGGAGAAAATATGTAACAAATTAAGTCCTTGATGTTCTCTTAGCTCCAAATGATTTTCATCAGTTTGGACTGTTAATCTGGACAAAGACTTGGTATCCTCAGTTGCTCCTTGAAACTATCAAAGTTTCTGCCAAACTTGTAATGTAGTAAGATGAGTGTCACTTCTCTGATGAGATATTTTGTGGATTGCACTAACTTTTTTCCAGAAATGCAGAATAATAATGTGCATTGATTGTTGCATCAGTGCCAGAAAAGACACCATGACAACACCTTTAGCATCCTAAAAAACATATACTGATGGAAATACCTTGAATTCCTTGGGTACTGGTGAATCTTTGTGGCACCATTCTTTGCTTTCAGGGAGTGAAATAATGAAATGCAAAGATGTAGGTTCAAAGTATTGGAAATATTCCTTAGACATCAACATACACTTGTCTTATAATCAAAAGCCAGTGCTTTGGATACCCATTGTAAAGACACTTTTCTGATTGGTAAATGTTCTTAAATGATTGTTTCAATACTACCAACACTGATATTGATAACAGCAGTAATTTCATGTTCTTTTGATATTTTTGTTTTCCAGGAAAATTTACTTGATGCAGTTGATTTTTTTTCTGTCAATGGTCAGCTGAATATGTCTGTGGGGATTTGTTTGCCTCATTCATACAGAGATTGAGATTAAGTATCAATAAATTTAGCACACCATTTGTTCCCCAAGTATGACTGAAATTTGGTACAGATTGTAAGCAGTTTGAATTTGTTACAAGAAATTTTATGATTCATTGTTGTTCCATGCTCATAGTATCATCTGAAATCAATGGGAACACATTCTTGGCAAAAAGAGGAAGGTAATGTCTGTACATTAATGTATATCAGCCTATTAATATAGTTTTCTGATCTTGATATAAAAATTTGAACTATCCATATATGAAACTTCTAATTTTCTACATCATATAAAAGAAATAATGAATATTCCAAATGTGAAAACTGAAATAAATATGACTGACCATTTTATTTATTGATGGTTTATTACTAAGTAATAAATTAAAAGTTTATATTTTAGTCCTGTTATCAGGTTGATTATTTAAAGTGATTGAAGAGAGTAATAATAATACAACATCCTAACAAAAGAATAAATGATGCTTAAAAAATTTAATTTTGAAAAATAAAATATATATAATCAAAATCTGGTAAATTGATCACATCTTCAGATCTCTCTGCTTTATGAATTATCAGGGTAATTCAAAAGTTCCCAGACACTGACAACACTCGTGAAAAAGATCTAGCACTGGCAAAACTTCTGTGAATGCAAACAAGCTGTATTTGCATCATCAAAGAACACAACAATTTTATAGAGCTGTTGAGTTCATTCCTTTGGTGAATTTTGTTTTCCACAACAAAGAATGACTGACAAAAAACTCATCATTTAAGGCATGTTGTGTCATTACTGGAAACAAGGATTCTGTGCAAGAGTAGCAGCAGAAAAAATTTACCAAATTGAAGGCCCAGGCCTAATGAAGAAGACAACTGCACCTGATTAGTGTTTGTAGAATTGAAGAGGCAGAACCAGCCTCGTAGACAAGCCTTGGTCTAAACAGCTGTTGGTGGAATTTGGATGGCCCAGTACATTGGAAACTGGCTCATAATGGCTGGGCTGTGGATGGCAACCTCTAAGCTGAGCAACTGGAAAAAGTCTTTGAAAGTCCTGCACACTCACTATCCAACACTACTTTTAATCAAGTGTACATTGCTGTAGCACAATAATGCTCTGGCACACCATTCCAGAATGGCCCAAGAAAAGTTAGAGGATCAAAGTTTTGCCTTACCCAGCATACAGCCCTGATCTTGCTCCATCATATTTTCTGCAAGGATGTTCCTTCAATATGGTGCATGATGTTAAAAATGGGATTTATAAGTTTTGGTATTGAAACTGGCCAATTGGTATTGCCAATTTGCAAAAGATAGCTAATCTCTTAGGACAACTGGGACCACTAACTGTATGGGAGTATTTTTCCCCAAAATATACACTCAACTATTATTTTATTAGGAAATATTGAAAATTCTATTGGTTTCCAAAAAATTTTTTGAAGTCAGTATCAATTACAGGATTTTAAGATATTTGGTATTATAAGAGATCAGCTATACAAAACTGAATAGTACATACTGATTTCCTTCTTAAATATAACACAACAAATCATAAAAAGTCATTAACCTACTGCTTTAATCTGAATTTTGACAAAACTACAGATGCTGGATATTTATTTGAAATTTTGGAATGAAACTGTTCAGATGAAGCAAATTCTGGAATACTACTACATTTCATTTGACTACAGGATCAATCTACAGTGTCATTCTTAGGCAATACTGTTACTGTATAAAAAAAAGTGTGGCCTAATAATGATACAAAATTGTTACAAAAAGTTAAAGAATTTTGAAGACTGATATTTGCAAAACTTCATTCCTATTTCAATGTTCTTCAGAGAGAGGGATCTTTGATCCATATTTTGTATGATGAAACACAAATGATTTGTGCAATGAGTTTATGACAGACTGTCAGGCATAATGGTGACTAATGAAACAATGGATATTGACATTATAAGTTCATCATTGAATACAGTAGAGCGTTGATTATCCGAATCAATTGGGGACTGGGGTTGTTCGGAAGATCGATGTTTCGGATAACCGATTATGTACGAAAAAATATATTAATTTATCCCATCTTGACATNGATGACGTTTTACGGAATTATAGGAGTTTTTTTACCATGTTTGTACGGATACCGTTGCAGTTTTTTCGCCGTCATATAGGAATCCAAACTATAGGAAACCGTGTTATAGGGGGGGTTGACTGTATGTGCATAGCCTCTAACCATTTGAGGTGTACAATGGGAGGTGAATCGTGGAGGAGATTGGCCTGGGAGAAGTTCACTACTATATCAGGGTCGGTTACATACATAGCGAGGGCCATGGAAGTTCTTCTGTGCCAAATATCAGCTAGATGCTCTTGTATTCTGACACCCAAAGATTGTTTAGTGGAGCCTATATATATATATCAGGTTCCTATCACACCTGTTGTCCTTAAAGGGATACTATAGATTCCATGACATCTGGTGGGGTTAGGAGGGTCCTTTCCATTAAGTAAGATGTTGAAAATAGTAGGACACCTCCTAAAAGTGAGACATAGCTGACGTTTGCTGGCAACCTTAGCGTATAGAGATTTGAAGTACGGATTGTATGTGATGGCAATTCGTTCTATGTCCTCCGGATGGCTGTTGGAAATTGTTCCGATCACATATATTCCTGCTGGGTCCTGTGATCCAAGCACATATAAGACTGCAGCCTTTAGAACATTAATCAAAAGAGCCATTTATGCATTTGTCTAACATCCAGACTCGGGATACTGAACTAGCATACATACTCAGCTTAGCCGCCCAACACGGGTATCATAAGCATATACTGTACATAAGCTAATACATCAGCAACGTATATATTCAGAAAATGCACGGGAATCAGAACAATTTGGGGACAGCCATCCGGAGGACATAGAACGAATTGCCATCACATACAATCCGTACTTAAAATCTCTATACGCTAAGGTTGCCAGCAAACGTCAGCTATGTCTCGCTTTTAGAAGGTGTCCTATTTTCAACATCTTACGTAATGGAAAGGACCCTCCTAACCCCACCAGACGCCCTGGAACCTATAGTATCCCTTTGAAGGACAACAGGTGAGATAGGAACCTGATATGTATAAGCTCCACTAAACGATATTTGGGTGTCAGAATACAAGAGCATCTAGCTGATATTTGGCACAGAAGAACTTCCATGGCCCTCGCTATGTATGTAACCGACCCTGATATAGTAGCGAACTTCTCCCAG